TGACTCAATACATAAGCATTTTTGATTATTAAAAATTTGAAATATTTTTTGACATTTTTAATTTACCTATACAATTCACATATAAAGGAAGAAAATAAGAATTATCTCTAAAATTATTTCTTATCTTGAATTTTTTGATAAGCAAATTATGAGCTTGTATGCATTAGGTAAGAGATAAGATCATTCTTAAGCAATCTTAACCATAAGACCTGGACCAATTAATTAATTAATGATTATGGTTTTTAATGAATATGCAAATTTATATCATCATAATTCAATTTCTGTATTAAAATACCCTAAATTTCTTGTCTTGTATTTAAATCTGATGTAAAAAAATATTATCAGTAAAATAATCATAGAAAATAGAGCATAAGCTGATGAACTAAAATTAAAATGAAATTTTGGAGGAAGATGAAATGTAATATTATAAATACCTTTTGAAAATACGTTCTCACAATTAAAAAAAACATTCATCAAACCATTTTTTGTATTAGTTACGCAGGTTAAATTATTACTAATTTGGTAATTATGTATCTTATTTTAAGAAATAGTAAGTAATGTTGCATTTTGATATTCTTAATTTACAATCATTGCATAAGAGTTATTTATTGCAGGGAATGAACCTTACATCAAAATGGGTTCCATTAAATTTTGATCTAAAAGATTATTTAAATAATAAGCTCCAACTATAAATTAACCTTGAATTTTAAATTGTTGCATCAAAATTCCATTCTAATAAAAAGAATTAGCAGTAATAGCTAAATTACCATAATTTGGAATTGTTCCAAAAATTTTGCCAATTTAAATTTCTTAACTTTAAAATGGAATTCTAAGATAAATGATGTAGCTAAAATAAATATCACTCACAAGTAAAATAGCTTTTTTAGAATAGATTTATAAAATTAGAATCTAATAATAATAATACTATTAAAGATAATATTATGTGTCAACAAAATTTATCTAAAAAATAACACGATTATGAAATTTGATGTTTATATCATCAACAATTAACATAATTCTATATTCTAATTAAGACTATTAAATAAAGAAAATAATTATTGATTCTTATTAATTATCTTAATTAACTTTAGGTATTTATGCAATAGAGAAATCTTGACATTGATTTATTATTACTTATAAGATGTTGTTAGATTAATTAAACCAATACAATTCTTACATCTAATTTAAGGTACCTAAGATAAATATTTAGTTTAAAATGCTCCTCATTTTGGAAATATTTGAAAAAGTTTAAGGAAGTTAAGTTGTATTTAGATTTACTATAAACCCTGAAGAATTTAATGTAAAGTTAAGTAAGTATTATGAAGTACTATTTTAACAAATTGAATATAATTAGTAAATATATGATGTTGAATTTATGCACTAACTAAAAGTAAGATTCGTATAATTAAAATTAAATAGATATCTTAAATCACTACTTAAAGTTTAAATGTAAGAGTTACTCTGTAAAGCAAAATATTTGTTATTTATTGAAGTAATTAAAGAGTAATTCTGAATATTAGAAATTTTACTAGACTAATGAGAAAATTAAGTTAAACTACAATATTTGGTTTATTGAGATATCTAATTAAAATATATCAATCCACATGAATCAACTTATCTATCTAGAATTAAATTCAATGGATATCTGAATAATTTAGTTTCAGGGATTATATTATCTGTACTTAGATAAATTGATAAATTTGTTTAATTCTAAATTACTGTGAAATTCGAATATAAAGTAATACTTTAATTTGGAGTTTATTAAAAAGTATTGTTATTTAATGCTGAAGTTACAGTATAATTATAAATCATTTATGGGTAGTTTATTGAATTATTAAATTATAAATTTTATTATTGGGATAGATTAAAAGTTTAAACAGCAAGAAGAGTATATAGATTATTGTTAGTAATTATTATTGATTTTGCTTATGAATAACTTTCGCTTAAATAAAATTACTCAGTACATTAAATAGGTGATGTTAATTCTAATTTATAATATAAACTCATATGATATGGTAATGAAGGATTATAAATATAAACAGAATTATTAGCAAAAGTAACATAAAAGAACAAATTATCTGATGAAATTCTTATTTGATCATTATTATCAACTTCACATAAATTCTTCTCATAATAATATTATGGTATATTTTCAACATTCCAAACTTGAAAACAAATAGACTGATTATTATAACAAAGATATGATAAAATCAATTATTAGTTTACTAAATTGATTTTATAGATTGTAAAATTCACCTATATCAATGAAATTGGAATAGGTAAGCTATTTTATTATATTGAGACTATGATAATATTTTGGATATTATTAATGTATAAAAATGAAGATAATAATTGTGTATTAACAATAATCTATATTGGATTGAATTCAATGTTAAAATATTTATTTATATATGTTTAATTTAAGGTAAAGATATTTTAAAAATCCAATGTCATTATCTAAATTTCTTAATTATTAAATAAAATTATGATATTATTATAAGTGACTAAAAATTCTAAGATCTCTGATTCAAAAGTTATATTTGATTAAGTAAAAGTCTTGTTATCATCATATTGTTATTAAATTAAACATATTGTCTAATTGTTATTTAAACCTATTATTATTATTTCAGGGTATATGCTATAAGCAACTTAAAGTTAATTTGCTTTTATAGTAATTGAGATATTATTAAATGTAGTATATTAGAGAGAATCATTAATATAAGAGCAATTGTAAATTTAGACTTATTAATTATTATATCCAATTAAAAACAATAAGGTTTCATTAAAATTTTAGATTGTTTACAATTATTAGACTAAATAAAAGTTCTAATTAATCATTTTACTAATATTGTTATAAGTTGCTTATTCAAAATTAAAATAATTTGTATCATTATTTTGCGAATATTATAATAGTTTTCCTGAGAAACTAATAAAATTTATTGTAATTTTTTTCAGCATTGTATATTAGTATTAAGGAAATTTCTATTAAAACATTACATAAATATTAGTATCATTCTTTGGCAATATTTAAAGATAATATTTATAAGATTTTAGTTTTTAAATATATTTTAACTAAAACACCTAATAGAAAAATTGTCATTTTGTCCTGCAACTTATAGATTAGTTAAGTTGATTAATAAAGATGGATTTTATATTTTATAAGTATTGATAACTTAGTTAAATGAAAATAATTCATTATCAGCATTAAAATATAATAAGGAATTTATTTAAATTATATGATTATACTAAAAGACTGCTGATTTTGCCTATTAATAAAGAATTATTTAATGATTTTATTAAAATATTATAAACTAGTTATTCTAGAGTATCGTCTATATTGATTAATCAAATTAATATTGATTATAATTATTCTATAGAATTATTTATTTTTCACATCCCCATAAAGAGATTATCGTAAAAGATTCTTCAAATTCTGATTATACAAATATTTGATCACATTATGAATAAGTAAAATAATTGTAATAACTGTGAATGGTAATAAAATTAGTAATATTATCTTGAGTGAAATTATATTAGAGTTCAAAAGTGTAATTAGATGAAATAGAAAATTATAAGATTTGTTATTAAGTAAGTACATAAATATAAGGATCTATTTTAATTGGGATATTAAAATCTAAAAAGTTGTTGTTCCAGCAAGTTAAATTTTCATATTTATTTGAAAATAATGATAGAATAGAGTTATTCTAATAATATTAAGCATATATTATATATATATTAGTACCATTAACTATAGATTATAATTTAGTTTTAATAGGCATAGATGAATTATTTGAATACACAATATTATATTATGAATCACTTAAATTCATTAAATATAACTATTCATTTTAATAACAATCAAATAAAATTCTATTATTACTTGATATATCTATATTAAAACAATTAAATTAATTATCTATTTTTAATGATTATCCAATTTATCTCATCACTTAATTCTCCCATTTATAAATTTTTATTTCATTTTCAAATGTGAGACCAGCAAAATGAGTATTATTTGATGATAAGGATTTAAATTCTATAATCAAACATATATATAATACAATCTCCAAATATTAAATCAATTTCTTAAAATTAGTTCTTAATTTATATATTTTCAATATTAGGATGACTTATCCATTTTAATTGATAATTATTATCAATTATGTTATTAATTTATTGCAAATCATGATTTTATTCTTCTTATTAATATAAAACATATGCGTCTTCATATACAAGCTCATATATATTGTATTCATAATATTCTCCTATTGTTGGGTACAATGAAATCTCATTCTCCGTTATCTAAAATGCACATATTTAAAAAATATAGAGTATAAAGATACTAAAATTCATTTAATAACAATATTAATGTGATTTATCACAAATTTATTTATAATATAGAAGATAGATTGTAATTTTATATTGTTAAATAAGAAATTTTAATTCAAAACATACTTACCTTTATGATTATTAATATTATTAAATAATTTGAATTTATACATAAGATCAATGTTATTGCTTATTTTCTTAGTAATAAATTTGATTTCGATATTTATTGTATTCATATGAAATTTTGTGCAAAATTATTTTAGATAAATATTTTTTATTTTAATAAGTTTGAAATATATTAGGTAATTAATATATAACAAAAAATATATTAATTATTTATAATAGAAAACACAAACAAAATTTAATTAATAAATATAATAATAATTATATAAAATATAATAATTACAGAATTTATGAGCATCACTTTGTTAAATGACGTATATTTAAATTTTGAAATTAATTTATCTAATTAATTAAAGAATATATATTAAACAAATCTTTTTGATAATACGTTGATTTAGATCATAAAATCCATTTATTAAATTAATGATTCATATTATTCAACAACCAAAGACNGCAACTTATAAAGAACTTGCATTTACAGAAATATTAATTGAACTTAATAGATTTAATTTGTAGGAATAATTATTGTTGAAAAAGCAATTAAAAATATCAAGTTATAAATTATTATATCCTATTAAATATTATAAGCCTTTATTGAAATTTACTGCTAGAATTTATACAAGTTGAAAAGTCTATTTAATTTTAGTCAATTTTGAATAAGTTATTGGATTAAGATTAAAATAGGATTCATTTGTATTTAAAGTATAATTTAGCAATTGGCCTGAAAAACTATAAAAATAATTTATGGGTTCATCGTTTAAAGAAAACTAATAATTTTGGAAATCTTAATTAAACATTACATATATATTTGTATCATTCTAAGATAATACTTAAAGATAAAATTTAAGCTAAGTTAAAATTTATGTATGATTTGGATTCCGACATAAAAGTTAAAACTAATAATAATTTCCTGAATTTTTTTAATTAGTTAAATTAACTTACAAGGATGCTATTTAAACTTTATAAACTATGATTTCTTAATTAAATGAAAATAATTCATTATCAGAATTCAAATATAATAGGGAATTACTTTAACTGTATAGGGTATATTAATTGAAACCATTAACTGATTATTAAATAATTATTGTATCAGTTTATTGAAATAGTATAAATTGATTATTTAAGAGTATCTTCAAAGTGGATTCATAAAAAGATTCAAATAATTTTGAACAATTTTTATAATTTCCCATAATTATTTAATTTTCACATCCAAATAGTTATTGCATACAAACAAATTGAGAATTCAAATAAATTAACGATATTTAATCACATTAGGAATAACTCCATAAATTATAAAAAACATTAATAGTTTTAAAATTACTCATACCATCATAGCTAAAATTATAAATCAAATTAAATTAATAATCTTAAGATATGGATAATTAGAGAATGTTTTGGAAAGTAATTGCATAAATATTTGGACTTATTGTGATTGGTATATCAAAATCGATAAATTAGTTATTTAAGCTACTTAAATTTTAGAATGATGATGAAAATAGTGTAAGTATTGAATATTTCTTAAAATATTAGGCATATACAATAAATATATTTGTTCCATTTACAATTGATTATATTTTAGTTGAAGTAGGTAAATTTGATTATATTTAATAAGCAATTATTGATTATGAATCTATTATTTGAATTAATAACAATTCATTGTTGTAATAGCAATCTACCAAAATTGTCTAATTTAAAAACAAATCGATATTAAAACAATTATACAAAGGATCAATTAATACAGATACTCCAACTTATTGAATCATTTAATTCTTCCATTCATATATAATTATTTCATTATTATTAGATAATGTACTAAAATGTGTATTATTTGACGACATTGAAATAAATTCTATAATAATAATCTTAATAATTTACATTGTCCTTAAATTTAGTATATTTCTTCACATTAATTGATTAATTACACATTTGGAATTTAAGGATGCATTTTGCAAATTAATTAAGATTGTTATAACAAACTCTCCAAATAGTATTCATAAAATTCTCCTACAGTTGGGTATAAAGATATTTATTAATCTTTATAAAATTAAGTATTAGGAAATATACATATCACTTTGATTAATAAGAGTATGATAATCATTTGATTTTAATATATTTTATTTTATTTTATACAATATTATATTGAATTAATTTGATTATATAATTTGATTATTATTGCAAATAATACATTTTATTAAGTTGTTATCCAAAAATATTATGTAATTTATATTTGATGTAAAATAACCATATTTAATTAAAGTTCTTCTATTAGCATTAATATTATATAATTAATTTCCTTAATAAAATTATTTTTATCTTAATATTAATAAATAGTATAATTTTTGAAAAATTTAATCTATAAATTCTATAGTATTTTCATTACTATATTGTATAGCTACATCAGAATCTTTAAGTCTAAATTAATTTAATTTATAAAAATCTATTAATTATCAATAAAATATAGATAAGATTTTTATATTTTTATTTATTATTATGCGAAAAATAATATTAATCTTCACAATCTCTTCTCTTTATTTTAATTGTCATATTCTTTTTTTACTAAATTACATCTTATTTTATTAATTTATATTTTTAGATTCTTATCTTAAAAGTTTTGGAGTATATAATCTAAATTTTCCAAGTTTGAGTGGTATCTAAATATTTTATAATCATGGATTACAATTTTATTTTCAAGTTTTTTTTATTTTTTTAGAACATCTGGAAGTTTTCTTTGTGAGCTATTATAGGTGATATGCAATTTTATTTTGTAATCTTTTGTGATTTACATTTTTTCTCATTTTTAGCGGGACAAGAGTTTCTGTAATAGATACTAGATGATTCTGTGTATCTTAAGGCAAGCTCATAGAGAATTTAAAGAGATTTTTAAGAAAATATAAAATACAAAATACAAAATATTTTGTAATAAATGTTTTAGAAATTGCTAAAAATTACTAATTAAATTTATTTGATATCCATATTAACTTTTTTATTAAATTATAAACCATTAAATTATCTACATTTTTTTTTGTTTATTAAAAATGAAAATGTCTTTATGTTATTAATTCTTTATGATTTCTTACAGTGTTTTACAGTTTTCTTCTTTGATATCGATTCATCTTTTTAAATGGAACAAAAGAAGTTATCTTCAAATTTTAAACTGTATTTCATTCTTAAAAATTTCGATTTTTCTGAATTAATTTTTTTAATAAATTCCTTATCCTTATCTTTCCTTTAAAGTATCACCATAATAATTTCTTAATTTATTCTGTTTATTTGATCATATTCCTAGAAACTTTATTTTTTCATTATTGACTTCTTCCTTTATGTTTGATTAACATCTCTTTTTAAGCTAAGCTAATTGTTTTTCTTGATTTCTTGTTTTAATAAAGAATTTTTAAACTTAATGGGGAATTCTTTTTAATATATATATTGGTTAGATCATGATAGTCTCATTATTTTTTCTAGTGTTAAATATGAATAAAATGAATTTTATTTTAGACTTAACATTCCAATTAACTAAGTATTTATCTTTACATTATCTAATATTTAGGCTATATTAGCTCTTCATTTAGATTTTCTGCTATGATTTTTTGGTGTGTGGTTTATGATACTTTTCATATTTTTACATTAACAAAAAGTTTTGTTCTATTATCCCACAAAAATCAAAGAAAGAATTTGAATAATATTCAGAAATATATCTTTTTACTTTTTGAGTTTAATTCTTTTTCGATATCAAGTCTCATTTATAAATCTAGTAATTGTTAATTAAAATTTCATTTCCATTTTTTGAAGTTCAAATATAAGCTAAAATTTTACATTATATTTTGATTTTGAGTAGTAACTAAATCTTTAAATAATTATAATAATATTACAAAAACACAAAATTAATTCATTCTAAATCATATATATGTTTCTTTCAATCCTTCTTCTTTCATTATATTATTTCTCCAGAATTAGAAGTTTTTTATTCTCCATTTGTTTTAATTTAATTCTTTTCTCAAATTTAAAGTTTCCAGATGCTGGTTATTAGTCGTTTAAGGTAAAAATAACCATATAAAAAATCAGTTTCCAAAGCAGTAGAAACTTTTATTATTATGTCTATCAATAATAAGGTATTAAAAATGAGATATAATATAAGTAAACTATAGGAGAAGCTTATTTGAAATCTCAAGTATTCTTAAAATTTCCTTAAATTAAATCTTAAAATAATTCATATTTCTTTCTAAATTTAATAAGTGTTCATTTATCTATTCCATACTATTAATCTTATCAAATATATATCAACTCACATGCTTTTGATTTTAATACATCAATATAAATACAAAACAGAAAAGAAAAGAAGATAATATGCTGTCTTAGGGAATCCCATTAGTGAAAGAGAATTTTACTCCATTTGAATAAAAGCTTTCGAGAATTAAAGCCGTTGCTGTTCTAGAAGTTACTTCTCCATATATATTAAATAGAAGATCTAAATTATCAGCGTTATTAGCCAATTTCAAGTCATTAAAGAACTCTAATCAATTATCCATAGCCTTGAACTTTTTTACAGATCCTAAATTTGTTTAAGGATCTAAAAAAATCTTCCGAACCCTTTGTAAATCCAATTTAGTGTTTGATTATATGTTTTTCACATAAACTTTACTCCATCCATTTAAATAATTGACTTAATATTATTACCTGTTTTAAATCACTTGCCAAAGGGATTTTACAATAATATTACTTAAGGGAATAACATAAAATTCTGAAAACTCTTAAACTATTCTCTAAGTATTAGTACATATTGAGTTAGTTAAAGTTTTCTTACATTTTTTATACATTGTATTAATTTAGTATACAGCTGCCTTCTTAACATTGACTAATACTCCATTTTAACTAAGATGATTTTGTTTATTAAATTTAGCAGGTTATTAAAGTGCGATCAGATTCATTAAAATTTTTGAGTTAGATATCAAAATTCACTTCAGATATAGGAAAAAAATATAAGTTTACTTTGTTAATTTATTCATGTAATATTTCTTTGGAATCATAGATACTTACATCTTTGTTATTGACATTTTAAAACAACTACATGACTTCATTGGATTTTCTTATTCAAAATTCTTTGGTTAACTTGAGAACATAAATTATCAGAATGTTGTAATTTCTAGATTATTTGATATTATTATTATATTATTTAATAAGTATA